TAAAGGATTATCTTATCTTAACTGATGTCTCTATCCCGAGGCCCGACCCCAACCACCGTCTGCGACACCCGTCCTGGTTTTCGCTTTTGAGACGACCCTCCTACCTGTTTGCTTAAATAGTGATAGTGAGACTCCATGGGAGCTACATCCTTAATAGTTTCAGTATCAAAGTTATTATATTTCATGTCGCTATCGTATATAATGAAACTATGTCTAATTTCAAAATGGGCATTTAATAAGTGTCCTTTGTAATACAATATCCTCGCACACTAAATTGCATAAAGCCATGGTCTGTTCCAAATAAGTCATTTTGGACTTAGAAAAATTCTGCACTAATCTCTCTTCAGAAAAGTCCTTTTTACCGTTTCCTATCTCCCTACCACCGGGACTGTAGTTAGGTCGAACTTAGTTTAACAGATATTTCACATATTAGCTACATAAATTGTAGATATATATGTGAAAAAACAGTACTTAGAGAATACCGTTATACAAAAGCAACTTGCAGTGTCTACGTTTAGCTTATGACATCACATGGAAGCACAGTATTTTAAAATATTTACCTGAGTTTGGTTTGCGGGACTCATTGCCTCAATTTATATCCAACGTTTTAAAGTTACAGGCAATTTCAAGTCCGTGTGGGTTCTACCCTGTCATATCATTATAATCAGGAGCAAGGTGTCCCACAAGGAAGTATGTTGTCTGCCACTCTGTTCAGCAAACATTATTAGCAATTAGTTTATCAAACGTTTTTAATAATTCCATTGATAGATAATTTTCATATTTTCCTGTCGTCGGAAAAGCATGTATACTATTAAAAGGCAACTCCTATTGTGTTTACATAAAATCGTTCAATGGTGTTTGGAAAATGGATATCAATTTTCAAACTACAAAACTACATAATAAAAACATAGCAAAGATCCGGAAGTGTTTTTAGATGAAACTCTATTAACGTTGTAAAGGAAAGTAAGTTTCTTGATATCATTTTCGATCTCCTTTTGACCTTTTGTCCTCTTTTGTCCTCATATAAAATCTGTGAAAATAAATGCCTGGATATCTATGTATGTAAGTGGGGTGGGGGTGGTGTGTGTGTGTGGGGGAGCATACTCCTCAACAAAACAGACCACTGATCCGATCTGAACGTGATAACGGCTGATTCATTTTTGGTGGAGCTTGTAAAAACAATTGAAAAGTAGCAGATTCTATTCATCATGAAGGAGGCTTTCCTTGGAGCCTTCGGAACTTCACGTATTCATTGTTCATATGTGGAGCTTGATGGGCCGCCCTTGAAACTACCCTGACTTAAATTATCTTTACAGAATATGACTGTGTTGAATTTTCTTATCAGAAGGGATAAATATTTCAATGCTAAAACTTTTAAGGATCTTCTTAGTAACGTTAATTCTCATTTAATTATTGAATTTTTAAAAGAAATAGAACTGATAGATGAATTTTGATTAATCTAGTTTGTAGATAAATGCATTTTTAGTATTGGTGATTTAAAATAGAAACTGAATTTGTGAATGGCTGTACCTGCGAAGGGGGTTGACGAAGCATAGAATTATTGTCCTCTTGAGAGGGTACGTAAGTCCCAAAACATTTGAAGTAAATTTAAGTCTACCAGGTTTTTGATCGTAGTATTTTTTGTTATTTTAATGTATGGCTGAATCTCAGCATAAACGCCAATGGCTGAAGGGATAGTGTAAATCCAGCTAGGGTCCATGCAGGTAGCAAAAGTAATGTAAGTCCCCATGGACCCTAGTATGGTGATCTACCTTCAGTTTTTGGTGATAAATAGCCTATTGGTCTCCTACTTTTAAAGATATAGCCTAGCTAGTTTTAACCCATTTTGTGATAATCTAGTCATTTCACTGTCTTTCGTTGACAGGGTTTTATATATCATATGTATGTTTTATAAAGTTTTATGGCGATCTACCTTCGTTTGTTGGCGGTTGTTGTATACTGTGTTGTTTAGAAAATGACCGCCTCCGTGGTGTAGTGGTTAGAGCGTCCGCTCAGAGAGCGGAAGGTTGCAGGTTCGATCCCCGACCGCGTCATACCAAAAGGCGTTAAAATATGGTACTTGTTGGTCCCTACCTGGCGCTAGGCATTAATGAGTACAACAAGGACTGGTCGGCTCGGAGTCAGTATAATGTGTCTGAGTGGGGTATTCATGCTTCACTGCGGCGTGGTATCTCAGTGGGCTAGCATTATAAAACCAGCTTATGTCTGGGCTAGTACAAGCAGCCGCACATACACATACACACGCATGCACGTCGTCATATGAGCGAAGTATTCTAAAGCACGACGTTAAACCGAATTTCAATAGTCAGGTCAATAGTGATCAAAAGCTGTTTAGATCACAATAAGGTATTGTTCACCAACTGTCTCTAAGTCTCGGCATTAAATACTATTTTTTTATTATGAAGTTATAAATTTAAATTTTACAGAAACATGCACACGAATCCATAGTGAATGCTGCGAGTTACGTTAAGAGATCTAGGTGAGCGCAGGAAGCACAAGTTGTGTTCCATGCCTTCTATATGTATGTGTCAGGAAGTGTCAGGACGTTTGGTGGTAGTATCGGTTCATGTGTATGGAGCAAGTATGAGCGCATCATTTAGGAGTGAAGCCTGCTGTGTGTTGAAGACGTATGGACACTGAAGAGTAGATACCACGTAATGAAATTTGGAACCGAACGCTAAAGAATTCATAGTCCTACCATATTTGAAATGGGTTTCACAAGGAATAAAGGAGCCCCGTTAACCAATCAGAATCAAGCATTTGTCAATGTCATGGTAGATTGTGAAGTAAGTTTTAGGACATGTTCATTTTGCACGAAACAGCGCATGTCCAAGCAGCATATATCAGGTCTACGTTGTGTGGCACGTAGCAGGGCGTCACCCTGTATAAAATATACGGCCATTTTCAAGCATTATGCATCATGTCGGGTCATTTATCAGTGTCAAGGCGTCATTATGTAGCAAGTATCAACTACATTGTTGTGTTTGCAATATCTTGCCGTCATGGCAACGTGTATCAAATCAGTATACTCTTGCTTAAGTCTGTGAGTGGGCGTACTCATAAACCTCAATCCTTGACTTATTGTCCTTGACCACTGAATCACTGCCAATCGTCACACACACTGCGTTATACAATTCAATGTTGTGACAATAAAATAAATAATAGTAATATATTTTATTAGTGTTACGTACAGCTTAGAAGTGAGGGTTCATATACACATATACATATTTACATGTCGTAATATAATACAAGGATAGGCACATGTATTACAAGACAAGTTCGAACCAGCGAACAGGCCAAGAAGTGCCAGGGGACACAGTTCTTCCTGGTATCTTGTCTTCGACTGTTAGACGCTGCACGTTGTTATTTCCATAATAAGTATGTATTCACATCCCATTAATTTGTGTAATATCCCATAATCCAAGCTGGGAATATTAAAAACATCATTTTCCTCATATTTGTCGAATTAAATGTTTAACAACATCTCTAATGTTTAATGTTGTTTGGAATGTTAGGCTGAGTGACTCCCTACTCTGACGCCATTTAAGGTCAGACATGAACCCCACACAGTCTGAAGATATATACATTATGTACATGTGACTACTGGCTCGGAGTCCATTGAGTCACTGAACTAATACCACTCTGATATACACAATACGGTTAGTATTAAAGTGATATGTTATGTGTCAAATACTGACGAATGTGCTATTCATATATTGGTGTTTTGTCACCTATACATGATAGAGCGCTATTCCAGGTTCATATGAATATATGGTAATTACAACATATGGTTTTCTTGTCAGGTGAATGTCGATTTGATATTTTAGAATCTGGAAACTTGAAGTCAAGTGTTCTGTCACCACATCTGATGGACACAGTAAGCCCCAATTCCTTTTTCCGAAACAGTTTGAGATACTACATCCTTGACACCTACGTACACAGTGAAATGGATGCTCATACCCAAATCATGTCGTCGACAGTGATGAACATCTGGGCAAGAAGACACCGATGACGTTTACCGGTGATATCCGCTGGTATATGCTTGTATTTGAGACGATAAGGAGGAGAATGATTGTTCACATGGTGTTATCGAATGGTTGGACTTGTGCCAGGAGTGATGACGACAATAGAGAATGTACAGGGGTGGATAGATGCTCAACACCCAGTTTTCACTGACGACGATGATTGCATGGAAGACGATGCTGATGCGACGATTGTGCCAGATGTCGACTGGACAACAGGTGTTGATGTTGGTGTCACTGCCAACGATGACTGCATACAAGACGATACTGAAGTGATTATTGTGGCAGATGTCGACGGAGCAACAGATGTGACAAATTGTGTTACAGTCGACGACGATTGCAATGACGACGATTCTGAAGCAGTGATTGTGGCAGATGTCGTTTGGGTAACAGGCGATGATGATTGAAGAGGAGACGTTGCTGAAACTTGTGTCGAAGTCGATGTTGACTGTATAACTGGAGTTGTGGATTGTGTCACGACCAACGACGATTGCAATGACGAAGACGATGAAGCAGCAATTGTCGCAGATGTTGACTGGGCAACAGATGATGTCGTAGGTGTCACTACCGTCGATGATTGTATGAAAGATATTACCGATGTTTGCCCTGAGACAGACGTCGACTGTTCAGCAGATAATACAGATTGTGTCACAGCAAACGATAATTGCAATGACGACGATGCCGAAGCTGCGATTGTGGCAGATGTCGACTGGGCAACGGGCGTCGATGGTGATGCTGAGGCAGCGATTGTAGCTGACAATGATGTTGAAGCAGTGGTTGTAGCAGACGCCGACTGGCCAACAGGCGTTGGGGATGATGCAGAAGTAGAGACTGTAACAGAAGTCAACTGGACAACAGGTGTTGTAGATTGTGTGAAACCTGACGATGACGTTGTAGGAGTGATTGAAGCAGACGCCGACTGGACAACAGGCGTTGGATATCGTGTTACAGCTGACGATGATGTTGAAGCAGTGATTGTAGCAGACGTCGACTGGACAACAGGCATTGTAGATTGTGTTACAACTGACGATGATCCTGAAGCTGTGATTGCGGCAGACGTCGACTGGGCAACCGGCGTTGTAGATTGTGTTACAGCTGACGATGATCCTAAAGCAGCGACTGCGCCAGACGTCGACTGGACAACAGGCGTTGAAGATTGTGTCACATCTGACGATGATGTCGAAGGAGTGATTGTAGCGAAGGTCGACTGCACAAAAGGCGTTGAGGGGGATACTGAAGCAGCAATTGTGGCAGACGTCGATTCGGCAACAGACGTTGAGGATGATGCAGAAGTAGCGATTGTAGCAGACGTCGGCTGGGCAACAGGCGTTGTAGATTGTGTTACAGTTAACGATGATGCTGAAGAAGCGATGGCCGCAGACGTCAACTGGACAACAGGTGTTGAAGATTGTGTCACAGCTGACAATGATGTTGAAGCAGCGGTTGTAGAAGACGCCGAGTGGACAACAGATGTTGGAGATTGTGTCACAGCTGACGATGATGTTGTAGGAGTGATTGTAGCTGACGTGGATTGGAAAACAGGTGTTGAAGATTGTGTCATGGTTGACGATGATGCTGAAGCAGTGATTGAAGCAGACGTCACCTGGACGACAGGTGTTGAAGATTGTGTGACGGTTGATGAGGATGTTGGGGGAGTGATTGTAGCAGATGTCGTCTGAGCAATAGGTCCTGGAGATGATGTTGAAGCAGCGATTGTGGCAAACGTCGACTGGACAACAGGTGTTGAAGATTGTGTCACAGCTGACGATGATGTTGAAGCAGCGGTTGTAGAAGACGCCGACTGGACAACAGATGTTGAAGATTGTGTGACACCTGACGATGATGTCGAAGGAGTGGTTGTAGCGAAAGTCGACTGGACAAAAGGTGTTGAGGGGGATACTGAAGCACCAATTGTGGCAGGCGTCGAATCGGCAACAGACGTTGAGGATGAAGCAGAAGTAGCGATTGTAGCAGACGTCGGCTGGGCAACAGGCGTTGTAGATTGTGTTACAGCTGACGATGATGTTGAAGCAGCGGTTGTAGAAGATGCCGACTGTACAACAGATGTTGATGATTGTGTCACAGCTGACAATGATGTTGAAGCAGCGATTGTAGAAGACGCCGACTGGACAACAGATGTTGAAGATTGTGTTACAGCTGACGATGATGTTGAAGCAGCGATTGTAGCAGACGTCGGCTGGGCAACAGGCGTTGTAGATTGTGTTACAGCTGACGATGATGTTGAAGCAGCGGTTGTAGAAGACGCCGACTGGACAACAGATGTTGCAGATTGTGTCACAGCTGACGATGATGTTGTAGGAGTGATTGTAGCTGACTTTGATTGAAGAACAGGTGTTGAAGATTGTGTCATGGTTGACGATAATGCTGAAGCAGTGATTGAAGCAGACGTCACCTGGACGACAGGCGTTGAAGATTGTGTGACGGCTGATGAGGATGTTGAAGAAGAGATTTTAGCAGATGTTGTCTGAGCAACAGGCATTGAGAATGATGGGGAAGCAGCCGTTGTAGGAGAAGACGATTGGGAAACAGACGTTGAAGATGATGCTGAAGCAGTGATTGTAGCAGACAGCGGCTGGGCAACAGGCATCGATGATGATACTGAAGCAATGATTGTAGCAGATGTCGAATGTGCAACAGGTGTTGAAGATGATGCTGAATTAGCGATTGACGCAGACGTCGACTGGACAACAGGCGTTGAAGATTGTGTCACATCTGACGATGATGTCAAAGGAGTGATTGTAGCAAAAGTCGACTGGACAAAAGGCGTTGAGGGGGATACTGAAGCAGCAATTGTGGCAGACGTCGATTCGGCAACAGACGTTGAGGATGATGCAGAAGTAGTGATTGTAGCAGACGTCGGCTGGGCAACAGGCGTTGTAGATTGTGTTACAGTTAACGATGATGCTGAAGAAGCGATGGCCGCAGACGTCAACTGGACAACAGGTGTTGAAGATTGTGTTACAGCTGACAATGATGTTGTAGGAGTGATTGTAGCTGACGTGGATTGGAGAACAGGTGTTGAAGATTGTGTCATGGTTGACGATGATGCTGAAGCAGTGATTGAAGCAGACGTCACCTGGACGACAGGCGTTGAAGATTGTGTGACGGCTGATGAGGATGTTGGGGGAGTAATTGTAGCAGATGTCGTCTGAGCAATAGGTCCTGGAGATGATGTTGAAGCAGCGATTGTGGCAAACGTCGACTGGACAACAGGTGTTGAAGATTGTGTCACAGCTGACGATGATGTTGAAGCAGCGGTTGTAGAAGACGCCGACTGGACAACAGATGTTGAAGATTGTGTGACACCTGACGATGATGTCGAAGGAGTGGTTGTAGCGAAAGTCGACTGGACAAAAGGTGTTGAGGGGGATACTGAAGCACCAATTGTGGCAGGCGTCGAATCGGCAACAGACGTTGAGGATGATGCAGAAGTAGCGATTGTAGCAGACGTCGGCTGGGCAACAGGCGTTGTAGATTGTGTTACAGCTGACGATGATGTTGAAGCAGCGGTTGTAGAAGACGCCGACTGTACAACAGATGTTGATGATTGTGTCACAGCTGACAATGATGTTGAAGTAGCGGTTGTAGAAGACGCCGACTGGACAACAGATGTTGGAGATTGTGTTACAGCTGACAATGATGTTGTAGGAGTGATTGTAGCTGACGTGGATTGGAGAACAGGTGTTGAAGATTGTGTCATGGTTGACGATGATGCTGAAGCAGTGATTGAAGCAGACGTCACCTGGACGACAGGTGTTGAAGATTGTGTGACGGCTGATGAGGATGTTGGGGGAGTGATTGTAGCAGATGTCGTCTGAGCAACAGGTGTTGAAGATGATGTTGAAGCAGCGATTGTGGCAAACTTCGACTGGACAACAGGTGTTAAAGATTGTGTCACAGCTGGCGATGATGTTGAAGCAGCGATTGTAGAAGACGTCGACTGGACAACAGATGTTGAAGATTGTGTGACACCTGACGATGATGTCGAAGGAGTGGTTGTAGCGAAAGTCGACTGCACAAACGGCGTTGAGGGGGATACTGAAGCAGCAATTGTGGCAGACGTCGAATCGGCAACAGACGTTGAGGATGATGCAGAAGTAGCGATTGTAGCAGACGTCGGCTGGGCAACAGGCGTTGTAGATTGTGTTACAGCTGACGATGATGTTGAAGAAGCGGTTGTAGAAGATGCCGACTGGACAACAGATGTTGGGGATTGTGTTACAGCTGACGATGATGTTGTAGGAGTGATTGTAGGTGACATGGATTGGAGAACAGGTGTTGGAGATTGTGTGACGGCTGATGAGGATGTTGAAGGAGTGATTGTAGCAGATGTTGTCTGAGCAACAGGCATTGAGGATGATGGGGAAGCAGCCGTTGTGGGAGAAGTCGATTGGGAAACAGACGTTGAAGATGATGCTGAAGCAGTGATTGTTGCAGACGTCGACTGGGCAACAGGCGTTGAGGATGATAGTGGAGCAGTGATTGTGGCAGATGTCGTTTGTGCAACAGGTGTTGAAGATGATGTTGAAGCAGCGATTGTGGCAGACGTCGTCTGTGCAACAGGTGTTGGAGATGATAGTGAATTAGCGATTGTCGCAGACATCGACTGGGCAACAGAAGATGAGGATGATGCTGTAGCAGCAATTGTAGCTGACGCCATCTGGGCAACAGGTGTTGAAGATGATTCTAGGGATGCGATTCTGGCTGACGTCGTCTGTGCAACAGGCGTTGAGGATGATGCTGAGGTAGCTATTGTGGCAGATGTTGACTCGGCAATAGGCGTTGAATATGATGCTGAAGCAGCGATTGTGGCAGATGTCGACTTAACAACAGGCGTTGAAGATATCGCTGAAGCTGCGATTGTAGTAGATGTCGACTGAACAACAGGCGTTGAAGATATCGCTGAAGCTGCGATTGTAGTAGATGTCACAGAGGCTGTTGAAGGTGACTCTGTTGATGTAGATGATATCTGCATTGAAGCGGAAACTGTGGCAGAGGACGACTGAACTGTTGATGATGATGGAGTATTGGTGGTTGATGCGGTGGAAGCAGGTTTAGGAGGACAGAGTACGACAGATGATGAATCGCTAGATGTCGAATGTAAAATCCCACATTCTCTTTTTGAGTCGACATTTAAAGTTCCGATTTTTCCATCTTTCGATTGCTCAATGATAAACTGAGCCAAGACGTCACTGAACATTTCTCCCAAGTTGGATGCTACTCGTGGTACTACTATCTCGTAGATAAAGATCAAACTGCCGTTTCTGGAAAGAAAGTATTCTCAAATTATTGTTAAGAATCTGGAATGAGATCTTTGGAATGGAGATCTTTGGAATTTGTAATGAGATGTATGTATGGAATCCTTTGAAACTATATGTACATACATGTAAACGGACGTTCTAATCACAAATATTCAACATTTCATCAGGCTGATATTGTCCACCACATTTTGACATATACGTCATTTCTGATGTTCTGGTCGTGTTTTCAATAATATCTGTCCAGAATATACAGCAACAACAAAACGTTACCTTGGATGTGTTGTCAAAAACATGTTTCCATTTCATTAATTAACATATAAATTTTCGAATTCCAAGAATCCACACAAACCCCCGTCCAAACTTCGCCATCAAGAAAATTAAATGATAACGTGCAAAGGGGCAGGGAAATTTAATTCATGTATTTACATAGAACCGGATGACACGTACATACAACCAGATTTGCTGCTGATCTTACCTTATTTCCAATACATTACAGGTATAGTCCTTGCCCTTCAATGGGGAACCGTCAACGAGTAACGTCTCCTTCATCTGTAAGAAGAACGCTCCATTGTCACAGGGGGCCATATATATTCAGTATATTAAGCTAAAGCGTCGTTGTTTCCTTTGGCCATATCTAAGATAACGTAATATGTAAGTAGGATATTGGTTCACTATTTGTAAACGTCATAATTTGATAATTATTATATTGCTTGTCGGTTTGATTAATTCATCATACCTGGTTGCAGAATTCTGCGGCTTCCGCCTTAAACTGAGGACTTGAGGGATCGGCGAGTTCAGGCGTGTACGTCTTATCCGTCACTCGGAAACTGGACTGTAGGCGTGCTGGAAACAAGAGGTCATGATTAGAACGTGGGGATACCTCAGGGTCACACAATCAGCTATCTCAGTTCATTGTTATATCATACAGCTAGATAGTTGTGCTGCCATAGGGCCCTGTTTAGGCCTTCAGCTTTCTAATGCTTGGTGTAAGAGGCGACTGAATTAGGTCAGCCTCGGCCACGGCGATCATAACGTCAATCACAGGTCAGCCTAGCCCGGGTCATGCAAACCATTGTGATAAAACAGACATACGTTCACTGACTTGACCAGCGTTGTGAGTACCATTATCTCGTATCTGTACTGCAGTCAAGGTTGTACTTGGTGGATGTAGACTTGGTGAGTTTTATTCATTGTTTACAAGCGTCAATTTTGGTTTGGTTTTGTAGCCGATTCGGAACACAAAGCTTCATTACTTCCTGATCATTATTTTCAGTTTGTATATTTATATAACCTCTGAATTTTCGGGAACATATCTTCAGCGAGATGGGGGGGGATAGGATGGGTGGTGAGTGTTTCTTTCTTTCTTAATTTTTCTTAGTAGCTAATGTACTTACCTACTGGAGTTGGTTCGGATGGCTTCTGGGTAACTGAAACGTTCATCACAAATGGAGTTATATAGTATTTTCTTCAGATAAAAAACATGGGTAACGTCGATCGAAATATAAGGATTTTAATGAACACAAAACGTATGCAAAAGTATGGCATGCATGAACTTTCTATTTGGAAGTTAGAGAGTTCTTGACAACAGCTTGTGACGTAAATCTGTATTTTCTAAGTATTACAACATCGTTACAGGTGACTGTCAATGTACACTCACGGATGATGGGCACACTGATGGAGCTGACGATGATACCGACGAGGAGAAAAAGGAGGATAACGAACATGCAGATTTTCCGGTTGGATCTCCTGTTCGCTGAGTCGTCACTGGAGGTGTCGGTAGTGCTGGCACCATCCTTTTCAGAGTGAAACGTCGGCACAGGCATCACAACATCACTGCTCCGAGGTGTGTGGTAGAACCTGTTGGCACCTTGAATTTCCTCCCAGTCCACATCGTTATCGTATGCCAGCATAGGGTTGAAGTACTTGTCCTCCTTTGCGTTGAGGTCCTCAAAACCTGAATTGAGGTTCGACAGATGTGGCCACTGAAAATAATAGAGTGAACGATTATGTCTTAAGTGCAGTTGAATCGCGAGGTTATACGAAGACAGTAAGGCAGATTTTAGACGTGTAAAATCTGAAGATGACCTCAGATGCCCTGACTGAAGACTGATGTCAGTGTTGGTAGCCGGGGTGTACGCTATAGCTTGTATTACTTGGCCCCAATCGTAGGCTGTGGTCTATGTCAGGTATGTCGTTGTTGTTGTAATAAACGTGCAATAAATGGCAATGTTATTAATGTCTGCGTCTAAATATAACACACGTATTTTCGGACAGGTGTTTCCTTGTCCAAGGCAAGATTTATTCTAACACTGTAAGGTATCTGAAATACCTGACCGATGACGCCTGTACATGTAAGAATATACTGTTGTTGGTAGGGTTTTAATAATTCATTTTAAATAATTAAGATGAATTAAATGTTGAACTAGATTTTTTAGCTTCCTGGTGTACATTGTGAGTAGACAGATTTTGCCAAGCGTAATAGTATCAGTTAATAGTGTTGGAGATAATAGTGTTGGAGATAGTAACCTAAGACAAATAATTTGAGATGATCACTGGAAAAAAGTCCACATTTACAAGCTTGTAAATGTTGTAAAGATGAGGTTTACAAGACATTTACAATTTTGGAAAGATGAGGTTTGCAAGACATTTACAATTTTGGAAATATGAGATTTACAAAAAAATACAATTTTGGAAATGTCCACAGTGGGAGATAACTGGAGGGTGATGGTAAATGATTGTTGTACGCTCCAAGGCCTAATCCCTTGTTAATTGATGAGTGAGTCAAGTCAGTTAAGATTCACCAATTAACAAGGCCTACTGCCGATTACAATGGGCGTTGTGTCCTCAATGCAGGTTTTAACATTTTCGAAACAATTATGATTATCCTTTGTCGCGGGTGTCCCTACAGTGACTTGTTTATATCAATACATCAAAAGATGAACATGCAGATGTCGCTTCAAGCCTTTTAAGAACCGCATTAAACAGCAAGCGACTCAAACTATTGTCATATAAGTGGTAATAATTCCTGAACATTAGAGATTTTGGAATTTAATGCTTTCATACACTAGAATCTCATAAACTATTTCTTTCTGTGAGATGATATGAACTGTGATATGAACTTGTGTACTGATTTCTCTAGAACTTATTTAATTTGATCTAAACATTCTGTCACCTTTGCTTGTAAATTACCAAATTAATTTGTTACGCTATGATGCAAATTTATTTAAGAAGGAAATCATTGTGTGTTTTGTTTTGTTTTGTGTGCTTGTTTGTTTGTTGTTGTTTTTCTTGTTGTTTGTTTTTGTTTTTTTGGGGTTTTGGTTTTGGTTTTGTTTTGTTTTGTTTTTTATTTTTTATTATTTTATTATTTTATCATTTTTTTTATCATTTTTTTTTTTTTTTTTGATTTTTTTGGGGGTGGTGGGCCTCAAACCGCCCGTGTGTGGACAAGATAATCAATTATCTATTAACAATTTCATGATATTTCGTGAATGCACCAATTGTATAACACTGTCTCTGAGCACAAACCCAAACGGCCGATCCCTTGTGGCAGGTGTCAATAATTAGTTTTACGCCGCACTTAAGCAATATTCCAGCTATAAGGCGGTGGTCTGTAAATAATCGAGTCTGGACCAGACAATCCAGTGATCAACAGCATGAGCATCGATTTACACAATTGGGAAGTTACACTAATATATAGAATTGGTTCCTTGTTGACCGCATATGACGGTAAATAGAAAACATTTGCTTTAAACACGATCCCAACTTTCAAACATGTATCTCTCCACGTGTCAGATGCAGTTACATTAAAATAAAGCACAAATGGTTAATATTAAAATACGGCTTATTCCTGCAGTTCTCATGAATAAATATATCACATGCAACATGCGTTATGTATATCAACAATAAGAACTCGAACAGAACAAAAGATGCGTGAAATAGTTAAGTCTGTCCATTCATGGGGATCCTTGGGA